AAAAAAAAAAAAAAAAAAAGAAAAAAAGGACATTTCTTTTGGAACTCTGTGTCCTGATTTGAAAAGGCAGGGATGTTTCCAGCTGCCCTCCCCATGTGCAGCAGGAAATTCCCAAGTCTCCGGCCAGTTTCGATGTGTTTTTCCCTATTTCCCAGGTGAGTGGCTGGAGGGAGGTGGCTGTGAGGAGGGGGCTGAGGTGAGGAGGGGGCTGAGGTGAGGAGGGGGCTGAAGGTAATTAGTGGCCAAGGAGCAGAGGGCATCCTGCCTGCTCCCACAGGGTATTGTGAAGCACTCCAGTGGAGCTCAGGATGAGTCAGAAAGCTCTATTTAGCCTTAAAAACAAAGGGGAACAAACAAGACAACACACGCAAAACAACAATAACAACAAAAAAAAATATAAAAGAACTTTGAAGTCGGGCGCACGATAATCTCTTCGGGAACAAACATGGAACTTCTAAGAAAGCAGCCGTGCGTGCGCGCTGCCGTGTGGTCAGACAGCTGGAGCCGCTCACGTCGGGATGCTCCAGGGACATGAAGAATTTGGGAAGGATTTTCATTCACAAAATCCTCCCCAGAGCTGCTGGTGCTAAGGACAGGGATGTGCCCGCTCCCAGGTTGTCCCCATCCATCCCACCCCGAGCCCAAAGGCCAGGAGGGACGCAGGGAAGACTCCTTTCTCCTGTTGCATCTGCAAACTGGAAAGTAGCCCCTTCAAAAGGTGGTGGGGGTGGCTGCCAACATGAGTTGGCAATGTGTGCTGGTAGCCCAGAAAGCCCCCCTCATCCTGGGCTCATCCCCAGCAGGGTGGCCAGCAGGGTGAGGGGGGGAATCTGCCCCATGTGAGATCCCCCCCAGTGCTGCCTCCAGCTCTGGGGCCACCAACAGCAGAAGGACATGGACTTAATGGAGCAGGGCCAGAGGAGGCCCCGGAGATGCTGGGAGGGCTGGAGCCCCTCTGCTGGGAGGGGGGGCTGAGAGAGTTGGGGGGTTCAGCCTGGAGAAGAGAAGGCTCCGGGGAGACCTTCCAGCCCCTTCCAGTCCCTAAAGGGGCTCCAGGAAAGCTGGGGAGGGACTCTGGATGAGGGAGGGGAGCCCTAGGAGGAGGGGGAAGGGTTTGACACTGAAAGAGGGGAGATGGAGCTGAGATGTGGGGAGGAAATTCTTCCCCCTGAAGGTGGTGAGAGCCTGGCCCAGGTTGCCCCGAGAAGCTGTGGCTGCCCCATCCCTGAAGGCCAGGTTGGATGGGGCTTGGAGCAACCTGATGTGGTGGGATGTGTCCCTGCCCAGGGCAGTGAGGTGGAACTGGATGATCTTGAAGGTCCCTTCCAACCCAAACCATTCCATGATTCTAGAACAAATCTGGTGATTTGGGGAGTCAATTTTAAGCTTTCACAGTACATTTTAGAGCAGCCAAAGGCTACTGGGGCAAAGAGCCGGGTAGTCGGCCGGGCAACCAGGAGAGAAGCCAGAGGTGCCTCCCAACTGCAGGGGCACGGTGGCATGGGAGAGACAGGACACTCCTGGAGGCGGTGGATGCCTCCAGAGGGAGAAGCTCTGTCATTTTAATCATCAAAACAAGGATGTTGATTGCGCAAGACCTTCTGGCTGTAACACTAAGCCCTCTGCAGGCCCTGCAGTGGTCGCCAGGAGCTCGGGGTCCCCTTGGACCTGCCCAGGGGATGGTGGGGCCAGACCAGGCCCAAGAGTGAGGAGGAGGATGAGCTGCTGATGAAGAGCTGGGAGGGGGAGCACGGCACCCCAAAAGCTGCTCTCTAAGAGCTTTCATTGCATTACGATGGAGTATTAATATATATTAATATATTGCTTTATGAATATATTAGCTTCTATCCATGTATTAATTAATATACATCAATTATTAATAATTACCTGGGCTATTAGTGCTAGTATCTTTGTATTCTGGCTGAAAAGAACCCTTTGTTGTCCTCCAACCAGGCTGTCAGAGCCTGCGTTAGGCTGAGGAGGAACGTTAATTCTTGGCTCTGGATGGAAGGTGCCCTCCCTTGGGCTCAGGAGAGGTTTTGGCCATGATTCCCGGGCTCTTCCCAGAAGAGGAGCCGCTTCTGAGAAGCACCCTGCCACCCCACCAGCGCTGCCAGCATCTCCAGTGCCACCCAGTACCACCAGCAACCCGCTCTGCTGCTGGAGGGGCGATGTCATCCCCCCCCAAAACCAGGGATGCTGAGGTCCAGGGATCCCTGGTGACAGAGGAGAAACCAAGAGTGGCAGAAAGCTACCAGGGGAGGGAAGGCAGGGGGAGGAGTGTTTCTAATCAGGGGTAAACGAGGAACCATTCACAAAAATTCTGCTTGCGAAGTTTCTGGCAAACCCCACTTCCTTTCTGGAAAAAAAAAAAAAAGCAAGAAGTGGAGCTCTGACGTAGCTGCAGTTACAAAAACAATCCCAACTGCCGAGGGGGACAGGGCACAGAGAGAAGCTGGTGGGACAAGAGCGGGGACCTCCTGGTGAGTAGGGGACTTTCTTCTTCATGCCGCTGTCCTGGGAGGATCTGCTTCAGGATATGGATCTGCTTCAGGACGTGGATCTGAAGGCAGCGTGAGATGCCAAGACACCAACACTGATCTGCCCGAGCCCAGCTGGAAGGACAGCCCTTGCCTGCTCCTCCACCCAAGCTAACAGGTAAGTGCAATGTTTTCCTTCATCCCCACCTTCCTTTCCTCCAGCATCCACCGCCAGCAGCTACGTTCCTCCCACCCTCTCCTGGCGACCAGCAACCCTCTCCCCAGGTCCTAACCCTGCTTGCCTTCTGCACCTCCTGATGAACCTCCCCTCCCATCTCCCTCTCCCACCCCACGATGTCCATCACTCCCTTCTCCAGCACATCCCATTTATCCTCCACTGATGCCTTCCCAGCGCAGGGAGCAGGCAAGGAGCCACAGGGCTCATCCCTGCCTTCTCCAAGCCACTAAATCCCTATCCACTCTGACCACAGCCAGGGACACATCCCACCTCCCACCATGGAGCTGGACCAGACGTTCCCACCTACCGCATCACCCGCGCCGACCACCGGTGGAGAAGACTCCTGCATATTGGAGGTCACTGACATGGCCATCGATGGTCTCACGCTGCTCATCTGCCTCTGTGGGCTGGTGGGCAACGGGGTGGTCCTCTGGTTCCTCGGCTGCCGCATCCGCAGGAACCCCATCACCATCTACATCCTCAACTTGGCCGTCACTGACTTCGCCTTCCTCCTCTTCCTGGTCATCTCATCCCTCCTCTACCTGATAGACAATTCCTCTTGCTACCCTGTTGGGATCCTGAAGTACCAGAGGTGGCTTTTCCTGCTCTTGCTGTTCTCCTACAACATGGGTCTGTACCTCCTGACGGCCATCAGCATCGAGAGGTGTGTGTCCATCCTCCGCTCCGGCATCCGCCACCCCAAACGCTCATCGGTGGTGGTGTGTGCCCTGCTCTGGGTCCTCTCCATCGCTGTCACTGCTCCAGTCACTGCTCTGTGCCTGATGAAGTATGAAGAGCACTGCCAGACAGCTCTCATCTCCATGTATGTCCTCAACTTCCTCATCCTTGCCCCACCCATGGTCATTTCCAACGTGATCCTCTTCGCTAAGGTCGTGTGTGGCTCCCAGCAGCGCCAGCCCAAGAGGTTCTACATCGTCATCTTCCTCACCGTCCTCTTCTTCCTCCTCTTCGCTCTTCCCCTCAGCATCCGGAATTCCATGGAGCAGCTCGGCTACCGCTTCCTGTCCTCCCAGGCTGTTTTCCTCCTCGCCTCCATCAACAGCAGCATCAACCCCTTCATCTACTTCTTGGTGGGGAGCTGCCGGAGGCACTGCTCCGTGGTGTCTCTTCAGGTTGCCTTCCAGAGGGTCTTTGAGGAGGTGGAAGACCACACCACAGGCAGCAACGACACCACGATGGGCACCCTGACCCCAGCCTGTTGAAGCCTTTCCACCGCTCTGCTTAATGCCCCCAGGACAGTGCCTGAGTAACTGGATTAAGAAATGTCTGCAGTTATTTCCCCCCATGGCCCCCTCTGACCCCCTGCAGAAGAGGAGAGCAGGGGCATCACCAAGGACGATGTGGTGGGGAGGACACGCAGATGGACGTGGCTTTCCTCCTCCCTGCCAGCCTGGAACCTGCCCCAGGGGACTGTCTTCCCAAAAATCCCCTGCTTTTCGGGATGAACGTTGCTTTCAGGAAGCTCTGACTCATGTATGGAGTTGGGGGGTAAAACCCATAAAACCCATTCCCTGTCCCAAGCCCCTCTCCCCATCCCATGTGGCAGCCCCTCCGAGCTCTGCTCTCCATCCCCATCTCCAGCCATGATGGGGTCGGGGGACATCCCTGTCCTGGGCTGGGGTGGGGGGGGACACCCCTGCCCCTCTGCCAAGACCCCACCACCCTCCCCTCCCTCTGGTTCCCGTGTCTCCCTGCTGGTTGTACCAATAAACACCATCCCGTTCCCTGAGGAGCTGCCTCCGCTCCGTGTCCCGGCTCCATCTGGGTCCTGATGGATTGGAGGGAGGGGAGATGCTCAACGGACCAAAAATGATGCCAACTCTCCTTAGCTATGACCTCACTGTCACAGCCAGCGTGGGCAGGATGGGCCCAGGGCTTCAGCGGTGCCCCCTGGCCATTTCACCAGCAAATATCTCCCCAAATATATATATATATTTATTATTATGATGATTATTTATTTATTTTTTGAACCAGATGTAAGTGTGAAGGACTCTTCCTTCTGAATTTCTTCCTCTCCCCTGGCTTCAGCAGGCTGGAGCATTTCTCCTTCACCTGGATGGTGCAGCAGCAAGGGGAGGAGTTCGTGGTTCCCCAACCTGACCACCACCTTCCAGGAGCAGGGTGCCACGTCTGGTGGTCACCAGGGGCTCCACAGGGTGTCATTCACCTCCTTATGGCTTTGCCAAGGTCTCTGTCCCAGTGGTGAGGGTGCAGGAAGATGGTGCTGGAGCCAGCAGTGGTGTGTCAGATGGCTCCGGACCAAATGCCATCACGCCAGGCCTTGGTTTCCCCCAGCACCATGGCTGCCCTGGGGACACACCAGGCTGCACGGTGCAGCCTCCTCCAGCACGGCCCCAGTGTCACCTCTGGGGCTGGTCTTCCTCCTGTCCTGATGAATGTGGATCCACAACACCTCCCCACACCCACCGTGCAACCTCACCATCTCCTGCCCCTTCCCACCATGTCCTGCCCCTTCCCACCAACCCCACCATGTCCTGTATCTTCCCACCATGTCCTGCATCTTCCCACCAACCCCACCATGACCTGCATCTTCCCACAATGTCCTGCCCCTTCCCACCAGCCCCACCATGACCTGCATCTTCCCACCATGACCTGCATCTTCCCACCAGCCCCACCATTTCATGCCCCTTCCCACCATGTCCTGCCCCTTCCCACCACCAGCATCTTCCCACCATGTCCTGCCCCTTCCCACCAGCCCCACCATGTCCTGCATCTTCCCACCAGCCCCACCATGACCTTCATCTTCCCACAATGTCCTGCCCCTTCCCACCAGCCCCACCATGTCCTGCCCCTTCCCACCATGTCCTGCCCCTTCCCACCAGCCCCACCATGACCTGCATCTTCCCACCATGACCTGCATCTTCCCACCAGCCCCACCATTTCATGCCCCTTCCCACCATGTCCTGCCCCTTCCCACCACATCCCACAGCCCCACCATGTCCTTCATCTTCCCACCAGCCCCAACACCTCCCACACCCCACCACGCAGGCCCACCACCTCTCACCCCCCCACTCCAGCCAGCCCCCCACCTCATGCTCCACTGCCTCCCTATGACCTGCTCACCCCGGGCCACCCCATAAGGTGTTTTTTGGGGGGATTTTTCCGGGGGGGCTGTTTGTCGAGCAGACCCCCATTCCCCAGAAGTTCACCCCTGGTGTTCCAACCCCTCCCCAAGTCCCCCCACCCCGGGAAGAGGAACGAGAGGCGGCGGATGGAGCCAGAGGCGTTTATTGGGGCGGGAGGAGCGGGGCCGGGGGGCAGCGCAAGCCCCTCCGGGGGGCACCGAGCCCCGGAGAACCGCTCTCCCGGGGCCCGGGGCAGGCGAACCGGGAGGGTTTCTGGAGGGTTCCCGTCTCCTCTTCCCTCGCTGGAGGGCAGCAAAGCCCAGCGCTCCGCCACCGGAGCCGGGAGCGGCCGACCGGAGCCGGGAACACCGCGGGGAGGGAGCAGGGTGGGGTGGGATGGAGGTGGGATGGAGGTGGGATGGGATGGAGGTGAAGTGGGGTGGGATGGAGGTGAGATGGGATGGGGAACGGGAACGGGGTGGGATGGAGGTGG